ATGTATTTGCATGTATTAAATTTGCATCTCGATTCATTGTCGATGCAGATTGTGATACCATCCAAAAACAATTTCTTAGCGGTGGGGGGAGTTTTAATATTTTTTTTAGGTAAAACGTGTATAAATTGCAGTTTTTTAAAGCTATCATTATTTTAACTTCTCTTTGCCATAATGAAGATAATTTTGAAGACAATTTTAATCGGTGCTCTTATCGCAAGTAAGCATTATAAACGTTAAAAAGTCAAAATATTTAACACATTTGAAAATAGTTTGCAGTGCATACCAAAATGAAAAATGTGTGACGATTCCACCTGGTAAGAAAATATTTAGGAAATAATATTTCTATTTAAGGGTTTAACATTCACGATTTTTAACGTAAGATAGAAAAAATATCGAGATTTCCACTTATAACGCTCTCCATACAACATGTTTACTAACGGTTTAAATACGATACTATCAGTCTCCAAATATTTGCATCGAATCTTTATTCGATGCATCGCGGTCCATTTAGATATTTATATAAGATATTCATAGTATATCCATTGAAATTAAAAATTATATTTAAATTTTTCCCATTTATGAAAACAGAGGAATCGCCTGAAACACCAGAAACATCGCCTGAAACACCAGACACATCACCAGAAACACCAACATGCTCTGATCAATGCCCGATTCGAGATGAACAAATAAGTGTTCTCATGCGAGAAATATCTACGGAAAGAGAAAAGATGATTAATGGTCTGGGAGAATTACTTAAACCTGATGAAAAGGAAAGCTTTCAAAACTGGCTTACAAATACGACTGATGTAGATGAATACTTGTTACCTATTGGTATAGATGAAGGTTTAACGCAATTGATTATGCCTGTACCTGTTTGGTTCCCATTAGTATCAAGAACAAACATTATGAGGGAAAAGGTGGATGAAATAAAAAACATTATAAAGAAGATATGGTTGGATTTATATTGCAAACCTTGCCCAGCGGTTTATTATGTAATAGTAATTGATGAAATAATAGAAACGTATGATGAGAATGGAAAACTCCTGCACAGGATTTTCAAAAGAACAACCATAATTTTACAGTCAACTTGAAATGCTTTTTAATTTTTTCTGATCAGTAACATATTTACCCCATGTGATTTTGATATGTATATGTAAAATTTCGGATTCAATAAAATTTTTGAAAACATCTGAAAGATTTTTTATTGGGATTTTTGTTTCGTTTCAAAGTAAGTTACCTATGTATTTAACATTGTAATACAATGGACTATTACAACTGTGCTTTTCGGGACATCTTTTTTTTTAAATAATTCAAATCTGTATTAATCGTATAGTTAAAATAAAATAAAAGCAAAAAAATCATTACAATAATTATAGGGTAGTTGGCTAGTAGTGACACCACCCCCGAAAACGCGTCCAGTAGTGACACCACTCTATTAGTTTAATTTTAACAGCTCCTAGAGCTTACCGGAGGAATGTGTTAATACATAACGGTAGAGGAAGGTTCAAGGATAAATAATTAACAAATCGCCTTTTCCGGTAAGCCCTAATTGCAGATAAAATTAAATCGAAATAAAGTGGTGTCACTACTGGACGCGTTTTCGGGTGGTGTCACTACTAGCCAACTACCCTACTTCTTATTTTTGGACACAAGTGCAAATGTCTTCTTAGAGTAAATTTATTTCGGAGATTGATAAGCATAACAAAACTAAATCACTAAATGCTTCTTCTTCTTCCGTTTATCGTGTCACTTGAATGTTCAAAGAATACAACAATAAATGTGATGCGCTAGCTGATGCAAAGCAATTTATTCCAATTTTCATAATAGTCTGTCAGTCATGTGGATATGTGCTTGGACTTAACACATTTACAAGGAAAATAATTCCACAACCAGAAGCATTGCAAGGACATTGAAAGTGTAAGAAAAAAAATCCTAAAAACCTAGATTGTTCGATATTTGTCGATACTAAAGAGAAATTGAAATGTAATTTCCAAATTTTCAGACTCGTGTCTAAAACACTCGTAGAAGGACCAAATGTTCGTTCATAAGACAGGGATGCAAGGATATCTTCAATTAAATTGTAAAAGTTATTTTATAAGCAGACTTGATATGGTTTTCAATCCGTGCTCTACACAATGTGAAAGTTTTTCTTGAAAATTAAGATACAACAACATCAGAAGCAGCGACATCCTTGTTAGAAATACTTTTTACGGTCGATAGGAAATAATTGGATGTATAATTTTTTGCCAGCTTTGCCTTTCTATCCTTTCCCGAATGATCCGAAACATGTTCACTTAGATATCTGTTTTCTTTCTTGCCACGGGGAACATGACATCAATAATGAAAGCAAAGCACAAGAGAAAAACCTTGTTACACTAAATCGACAATCATTATCGCCAACTTGTCGTAAGGATATTTTCGTTTCTTTTTTTTCATCTTCGACTTGAAGGGACAAGTTTTGATGACAAACAATGAATCTCTTCATCGATTTTCTATTCCGACATCTGTGTTTGTATTTGTGGTGTCCGAAAAGAAATAACTTTATAGCTAAGATCTAAATAAACCAGCACAAAATTCTTCCTCGAGAAATTTCTTTTTCTTGTGTTACAAAAAACATGAAGAAAAGTTTAGACGAAATCATTATGAAATATGCTCCGTGATTTTCGATGATGATGCTTAGAACAGCAGCAGTTCGGCACAAACACAAAATGTCGCCATAAGGGATGAAAGGAAACTTTTTCAGAATAATAAAAAAGTGCTTTTCTTCCATTTCAATTTCATCATGCACAGAAATGCTTTTCCTTTATCTTCTCTCATTTTTTATAAATTTTCAAACTCGTGTCTTCAAAATGTTTACTTCACATTGCATACAAATTTTTGTCTACTTCGCAACAATGAGCAACAGTAAGGCTGCGAGACCCATTGTGCTTCTTTTTAGAATATTTCACTTGGAGACAGAACGAACTTGAAGACAGAAGCTAGGATGTATGTGAGTTATGTTTCTGGTGATTTGTTCTCGTTTAGTTGTTTTTTATGACATTTGTGAAGGCAATATTTTCATGTTAGCTTGAGAGAAGGAAGGGAATGCAAGGAGAATAGTGGGTAAAGGAGTCCATTTCTGCATCACAATAGATTTTTTTTATGTTTAATAATTTTCGTGGAACTTCTATTGCTTCTGGTTCCATTGTTGAACAGGATGAGAAATATTATCATTCTTTCGTTTCAATTTTATTTCAGAATGCGGAAATTTTTTTATCTTTCGAGTCGCATTTATTGTTTACATTTTTTCGTATTCCAGGCAGAAACATCACATTGCTCTGTATCATTTGGCAAATGTGTGTGCTTATTCACATCGTTTCAGAAAGCGAAACGTGGGCAACTGCTGATGGGTGAAATTTTGAAATAAACAATTTTCCCCGAGTACTTTCTTAAAATTGATATTCAATTTATGCGTGGGATAAATTTTGATGTTTTCCCTTGCCACTACCTAGAGCACTTTCGTTTACTTTTGTTTTCCTTTTGTATTTCATCATGAATGCTTTTCTTTTTCTTATTTTTGTATGTAGAAATGAAAACAAACAATGTTGAATGAGAATTCACGAATGCATTCATGTTGGTATTTATTTTCAATTTTAAAATAATATAATTAAATTCTAAATAGAAAAGCAGACTTAGGCCGTGAGGTTCGGAGCGGAGCCTTGTGGCACATCAAGAGTAAGTGAAGGTGAAAAAGTTGATAATAAAATTTTGTTTCATATTCTACTTTTCGCAGTTGAATTTAAAACATTTTTGAACTTCTGTCATGTCTGTTTTTATTCTCGTATATTCTCTCATGAACTTCTACAAACGAAAACTTTACCTGGCCTTGACAACAGTTTTATTGTTCAAAATATTTCTCTATTATTTTAAAGCATCAAAAAATGTTTGTGGGATTAAAAACAAACGTAATTTATCTTAGAGGTAGAGCAAGGAACTTAAACCAACATCTAAGACAAATGATTGAAAGCTTTAATTAAAACTTTCTTTTAAAGGATATTGTGCCAGGATATGTTTAACAAGGTTGGCAGACATACTGTGAAAAGAGTGAAATTGATTCAATAAACACTTAACAATAAGCCACATACAACCTTCCTTAATTGAATTCTGAGAAAGTGTATATCAGTATTTCGATTCATACCCCCAACAACCAAAAGCATACACAAATAAACTCTTTGCTTGCATTGTGCTTTTCGTTGAAGACTCAAGGCGAAAAAGCAGCAAATTTAGAGAACAGTGAAAGAACAAACACATATGCGGTTCTACCCTTTTACTTAATAGGAACACATGATCCAAATTTGAAACATTGCAAGATTGTTTAACCATCTGAACCGCAAGTATGCATGGAAAGGGACGAAGCCGAGCGGAAATATAATTTAAAAAATAAACAACAATTGAACAATAAAACCAACAATCCCCATAGCTAAACATAAATTTAATTCCATTTATGGGAAAAATGTAATTGAAAAATTGTTTTTTGATTTTATTCCATTTTTTGTCTTCTGAAGAGAAAGTAACTTAATTCTGGGGGAGTCAAAATGGAAATGATATCGACCTCAAGGAAAATTTATTTAAATGTCTGTCTTTTCTTGTTCCTTGTTAATTTATTCAATTATTCAACTTTTAAGGATGTCTCCATCTCCATAATTCATTTTATTCTTAGCCTTACTCGTAGCTACAGTCTGTTACTGAATTCAACACAATATTAATTGTTAGAAATATAATTCTGTGCTTAATTTTATTCGATGTTAGTGTTATTTCAGGTACCAGAAGTTGAAACTTTTGATACTTTTACAAAAATATAACACAAAGTTTTCATAACAATAAGCAAACAAATTATCATGTTAAAAATAACATTCGCTGTATGAACTTCATTAATTAAAAGCAGAAATATTGAAGCTTTTGAAGGAAGCTTAGCTAAAAATAGAATTTGTTTCGAAAGAGATCTGTGAAGTTGAAAAACAATTTCCCTTTCAAAATCATAATAAAATTAAAATCCTCGAAACAAAAATTTTGCTTTTGATAAGAATCAACAAGTGAAAAATATTTAAATAACTTTGATTTGTTAACAATATTTTCATTAGATGTCTTCAGTCCCTTTGATATCATTCCTTACATTGTTAAATATCTACTTTCAAATGGTTTCTTGTTGTTTTAGAAAATTTTGTTGCCCTTTCAAGTCAACTCTCATTCCATAGTTAATATCTTTCCTATCTCACAATAGCAACAAATACAAAACAAAATAAGTTTAAGGACAACAGATCCTTTTCAATTTTGGAATTTTAGTTCTGTAGAGATTTTGTTTTTGTGACATTGAAACAAATTACGAAATTGACCACTCGAGAAGATTTTGTTTCATCATTCCGGTATTTGAAGTTTCTTTCATTGTTTAACTCGGCATTTGAAAGGAAAAGGATGAGATTTTTAACACACTTTAAGTAACGCTATTGGCGATAACATTGAAACACATTTTCAAAGCTTTAGTATTCTTGGAAAAGGATGAAAGCATTGATGATAAAAATTGCCTTGAATTCAATAGGAAATGAGATGAAAGAATGAAAGCTTTCAGGCTTTCACTTGATTAAAAATTGATGTTGAAATGTGAACTTTCCATTGCTGTTATCTTCTAAAGATATTTCCCCTTACAGGAACGTTCACCACATTTTCTTGTTGTTTTTTCAAGATGGACAAGAGTGGAATTTCTAACAACCTTTCATTCACTTCGCATAGCTGAAAGTTTTATTTACGAGAGAAACAAAATCTAAAGACGAAGACCAGCGATTTTAGCAGTGACATCATGGTGAAAGCTTGAACTTCTAATCTTACTGTAAGATTTCAGAATTCTTCAATAATAAGAAATGACTTTCCATTCTTTTGAAAACTTTAAATTAGATTTATCTACTTAAAATTTAATAGACATACATATTTGAAAATTGTCTCGGAAGTTTCAGAATTTTCTTTGTACTTCTTAGTTCATCTCTAAATTTACTCATAAAAAATTCAAATAATTTTTTCTGCGAGAAGGAAAAGAATGTCGGTAGCATCTTAACTTCAAGTAGACAAAGGAATCTCTTTTCATAATGGAAATGCAATAAAGATTGTTTCGAAATTGTTTAGCTTCTCAAGAGAGTCAAACATCGTATTCTCAAACACTTATTTTGTTGGCCCTGAGCGACAGACAGAAAATTTAATTAACTTCATGGGATCTCTTTAGAACTTGAGAACATTCCTTTGATTTTCTTTTATTTTTTAAGCAAGCAGAGCAGGATGAAGCTTCGTGTTTGTTGTGAAAATAAACCACAATAAAAACATCAAATCACAATTGCAATGATAACTTTAAAGTGAAACTTGCACTTGAGGAAATTAAATCACAATGAATGCTGAGAGTTGATAAAACAGAAAATTCAAACATTTCTCTTGCTTTTTCAAGGAAATATTCGAATCACAAATCTTCATAGCAAAACAGATCATTCAAATATTGCAAAACATCATCAACATAAACAGAATTGACAGTAAACATCGCTTTCAGCCTAAAATCTTTTAAACTGTTTTCAATATTTTTAAAGTGAAAATTTTCCTAAGCAACGAGAAAAGCAACACAATCATGGGAGCTTAAGAACCATTTTATAAATCGCTTTTAAATTGAAATAAGCCCCATGTTCAGGGTTGCTGCTTTCGTTGTATAATTTCCTATGTTTCCACATTTTCCGGCCACATCACATTCAGTCAGCAACAAAAGGAATGAAGCAACTCATTCGAATGATAGCAGTTAGCACACGAGAAGATGGAACAGAGAAGAGCTAGAAAACGATATTTAATCATAAATTATGGACCTCCATTCTTGTTTATCCGTGCTGATGATTTTAGAATAGAAAAGTGAGATTGTGCAAATGAACAAAAGGAAAACGACGTTGATATAAATAAAATACCTCGCCTAAACTTACCGCATCGTAAAAATCACATTTGTGGAGTGTTCAGAAGCGAAAGAGCAAGTTAATGGACCATGCTTCAGGTACGCTATGATATGACACAATTATTACCGCCACCACCACCGCTCGTTTGCTCGCCTTTCACTCCTTTCACTTCTCCACAAAAATGAAGTCATTTAAAATTCATTCCGTGTGCGAGCAATTTTCTATGCCATCATTAGTTATAGCTCTTTGCAAAGCAAGGAAATTAGTTAAAGCAATAAAAAAGAGTGGAGGCGAAGTAACTTTTTCATTATTTCTAACCACTATTGTTCTACATGTGAGGTTGGAAAGTTTTCGTGATGGCGAGTTTCATTCGAGAAACTTTCATCAATAGCTTTTGTTCAATGCGACATGAGACATGATGCTGATGATGATGATTACTATGATAAAGAGAATGTGAAACTTATTTGAACTTCTCCGAGTTGTCCCTTTAGATGTGCGGGATAAATGTTAGAGATGGTTAAACGACAGTGTAAAGGGACAAAGTTTGAAGCCGAACAAATGTCGAACAATTTGTCAATAATTAAAGAGGGAAATATTTTTGGGATTTAAAATTGAAGTTGAAGTAAGCATTGAGATATTTTGTTATAATTTGTTACACAACTATTTATTATGTTCACCTACAACATTTCTTGATGGGAGATCGTAACTTTCCTTCATAGCACAACTTTGTTACAAAGTTTTTCTTCCTTCTTTGCTGTTTCATATCAAAACATCATCGTAGCATGTAATAATCGTTCATATACTTTCTCATCCTGCCATGACAACGCCAACATATTTTCTGATAATGAAAGCATTAATTTTCCTCGTAAATATTGTTTTGAAAGTCTTTAAGCCTTCTTTCTGCTTTTGGTTTCATCTTTAATTAGGATATTAAACAACATACTGTCGAATTGCTTTAGATTTACTTCTTCGACAAAGCAATCCATCATTGTGATGTGCTTTAAACATTTTATAAACAAGCTCGGAACTTTTTTCCTCCATTTCTGCGCGTGTGCTTCTCATCAAAGCTCACATTCAAAAGGATTACATTTTATTACCCTTTTAATGCTTTTTATTTTCTTCCGCTCTGATATTTAAAGAATTTTTATAAATTCATTAGACAGGAAATTTATTTGTAATGGAAAATAATTTATTATTTAAAAGATTATTAGCACGAAACGCTTTTTCATTAAGCTAACTATGAAGGACTTCTTAACATTTAAGCTCTCTTTAAAATTTAATGTTTTCTTGTTGTTTAATTTTTCATTTATTAATCTTTAACTTGACTTTAAAGACAAAAGATTTATGTTGTTTCCACTCAATAAACGTTAATATGTTTAGGTGTATGTTGCATCCCACTTCTTAATGTCTTCAACCATTCGATTGTAAACAAGCGATCTAACATTGATAGCCCAAACAAAGTCCATGTGGTTGAAAGCAGTTTGCTTGAGTAATAAAACAAATAAATTAATTAAAAAGTTTCTTTAAGAAAATTCATCGAAAAGTAAACTTACTGGGACGAGATATTTCAATTGAACTTGATTTGCTGTCAATCGGCTGTAAAGCGTATTCACGTCATTTGGGGTTGCCATCCAATCATTCGTACTGTGATAGAAAGAAATTGGAGCGATATGTCCAGTAAAGCGATAATTTGGTGGATAAAGTTGACCATAGCGATAAAAATTCAAACCATCATAATCAAATTGTCTGAAGGTTCTACTTCTCACAATCTGAGCATAATGAATCATGTTTTTCGTGCTTGCACCCGCTGGAGAATGAGCATGAATGACTGGAAGCATCGTACTATTAACTTCTTGAGAATTAAAACCAGCAATTAAGAACGTTGTTATTGAACACATTTCTAAGTAAGTATAAACACATAATAAATTATTTCTCTTCGACATTAAGTCTTTAAGATTCAAACCTTGATATGGAGCACCATCACGGCAATCATCGTAAGCTGCTTCCTTGTCCATTTCACTTGTTGGTGCAAAATAATAAGTTCCCATCATGTTTAGAGCTAACTGCATGCTGTACAGATAAGTAGCAAGCCAAATGACGTAAGGCGATTTAACATTGTGCATGTAAGCAGCTGGAGCAAGAAGTTGACTACTGATAATCTTATTGCCGTAAGTTGGACGTTCACTAATCATGACAAGATAAGCAGTTGTTCCCATGCTATGACCAACATAATGAAGTTTAGCTCGATTTGTATGTACCAGCGCGTAATCAATCATAGCTGGTAAATCAATACTGCCAATTTCATGCCATGAAAAGTCCCAATAAGCTTCTGTTTCATTATTCAATGTGCTGTGGGTATTGGAGTATCGATTTCCTCTTGAATTTCCCATCCAAACATCACTGAAATTAAAAAAAAAAGTTTTTGTGAAATTATAAAGAAGAAGAAGAAGAATGAAAATCTTTTTTTACTATCCCAGATCGGACAACATGTAGACCAGAGATGTTTGTGGACCCATAAGAACATAATCAGCTGATGAACTCAACATTCCATGCATTAGGAATACAACTTGCTTTCCAAAGCGTGGTGGTGAAACTGGGCCACCGGGACAACGATGCATGTTTAAAATGTAACCATCTGATGTCGTGACACGGTGATTTTCAGCTGCATACCCGTATTTACGTAACAAACCAAGCTTGTTAGAGATATGACGTGTTAATGGAGAATGACCAGAATGTCAGGGAAAATATCTCACCACATCCAAACGAGTATCTTCTTCAACATTTGCTTTCGCAAAAGGTATGAAAATGTAAAGAAGTGAAATAACAATCCAAGCCTTCATCCTTTCCGAAGTTTTAAAAAAGACTGCGTGGGATTTGGCTTGTCACAGTCTTTTAAAGTAACAAAGGAATTAATTCGCTAACGTTCGGCTCGATCGCTTTAAACTTGATAAATTGCTGAAATCGATAAATGTAAGTAGAAAAGCCTTAAAGCTTTGAAGAGATTTAAAAATTGTTTGTTTGTGGTAGACGTAAATTACATTTAGTACATAGTTGATAAAAACTTTAGATTGATAAGAATTTAATGTTATTTTTAGTAATTTTATGAATGGAATTTTTTAGTTCAAAAATAAAATTGAGAGAGAAAAGTTTCAAATTATTTTTGTTGTGATGAGAAAAATTTCAAGTGGAGCTGAAAATTCTTGGAAATATTTTGTTATTATTGGATTAGTTGAGATATTTTATTGTTTAAAATATTTGACATTTTTTATTGCTTTTGACAATTTTTTTGTATCATTCAAATAATCTCCAACTTTTCTCTTCAATTAACTTTAACTTTTCTGCTTTTCGTTTCTTTTTTGAATAAACAATTTAAAGACATTTTTGAGATTTTAACTAGCAGAATAATGAAGACTATAAAGATAATTTGAATATCCCAGAAATGAGAACCTAACAAGCCCAAGCTGACCGTTGCAGGTTGTAAATGTGTCAGATTTGGATTTCTCATGACATATTCGCACCACCAAAGTGCACGGTCTAAAGGTTTTTCAGGCTGATCTCTAAACAGTTTCGATCTTCTTTCCATATTTTTATGATATTTCTGTTGATTATTTAGAACTTCAAGAATCGCATTTTTGAATGTTTTATGGGATAATTTATCAAAGTCAATTTTCACAGCTACACCAGCTTTGACACTTTTATGCAAATTTCTGTATTGATCAGCAAGGAAAGGAATTCCAACCATCGGAATTCCTCGCCATGTTGCTTCGTGTGTTGAAAGCATGCCACCATGAGTGATGAAGAGTTTCAACTTCGAGTGAGCCAGAATATCGTTTTGAGGTAGCCAATCACTGATCATAACATTCGATGGAAGTTCCGACAACATTTCCGATGTTTCAAATTTCCACACAAAATTATAGTCAGGGATTTGCCGAAAAACTTCTACAATCGTTTTAATGTTGTCTGCACCAAGACTGTCTGATCTGATATTTGTTCCAAGTGACATCAAAACCGATCCCTTCACACCTTTCATAAGAAACTTTTCAAACTTCTCCGGAAGTGGCTTCGGCTCGCTTATCTGCATTCCACCAACTTCGATAGTATTTGGTGGTAAAGAATCTGGAAAGTCGATGACCGGATTGGAATTTACAAGCGTTAAAACTGCTTTCTTCTCCAATTCACCAGAAGGTGGTAAATCTGATCCAAACATTTCTCTCATTTTCACATCGATAGCTGGCAGCGAGAAATATTTGCGATAGCTGTAAATAAAATAAAAAGAAAACTTTCTCTTGGAATTCCATGAGATTTAATTTAGAATCTTACAATGAATCCAAAAAGCTCATAACCCCGTTCTCTAAGCGTTGAAAAATGTTCATGTCAATGTCGTAAGATAACAGATAAAAGGGTTTTGTCGTCAATCCAAGCTTATCTCCGCCTGTAATATCAACTGTGTAAGGTGGATTACTAAACGCAGATAATCCTATCAATGGTGGATAACCAAATTTGGGCAAGAGACCCAAAAGACAAGAACCAACTGTGTAATCATGAAGAACCAAATCAAATTTAAAGTCTTTTGGATAGTTTCGAATCAGATTTAATCCAACTGCGCTTTTCTGAATTCCTTCACACATAAAAGCTCCAAAATCATAAAATGAAATGACTGATTTAAATTTGCTTTCTTTGCTCATCTCTAACAGATCAATATGGTCTGATCCACTATATTGTTATCCAATAAAGAATAGTTTTAATAAGTTATAATAAATCTCATTGCAATGAAATTACTTGTAATAGTGAGAATAAACTTCCTCGAGATGGATGAAGTGAACATTTTTCGGAACTTTTTTCTCGATATCTGGAGAAAGAAACGTTAAGTTGTGACCTTGTGCAGCAAGTCCATAAACCAAAGCTTTGTTGAAAATAAAGTGACTTGGGCTGAGTGAAAATTTATCAATATTCAAAATTAAAGAAATGTTAAGAATAAATTCCAAAATTTCACCTTGGAATCCCACTAAGCATTAAAATGTTTGCACTTTCATTATTTCTTATCAAAATAAAGATAAGAAATAAAAAAATTCTCATCGTTTACTTGTGCGTTCCTTCCGAGCTTCACAATATAACTAACTGAAATTTAAAAACAATCACCATGATGATACCAAGTCACGGTGAGAAAAAAATGTTATCAACTCAATAATCATTTTATCTTTTGCATTATGCAATAAAATCTTTGAAATTGAAAAGATAAATTAGTTCAATGACCAAATATTGCTATCTAAAGTGGAGTTTTGATAAAGTGCGCAAGATAATGAATCAAATAAATATTCCACAATCATATTCAACTTTTCTCCGTGCTGATTCTGACAAAACATTTTATGACCTTCACAAGAATTGAATGATTTATTTAATTTTATAAAGCTTAGAATCATTTTGATGTCATTCAATTGAATCATAAATATTTTTACAAAATTTGGTTGATCTTGTTTGATTTCACTTGACATTTAACTCAATGTCAAGGTTTGTTGCTATAAATGTCTTGATAATCGTCTCTAATTTAATTAGAACTTAATCAGAGATTCTAGAAATCTTTAATTTTACTTAATTACCTTAAATCACTAAATAAAGTAAAACGTTAAATTGTTAACACGATAATAATTTTATAATCTAAACAAAGGTCATAAAATGTTCTTACATGGCAACTCATGCAGAGTTTTCATGACAAAGGATATTTTATTAAAGATCTTGTTTTAAAATAGATAAAAATAACTTTAATCCTTGAATTTTCCATCATACGACTTCATTCTTGAATTTCTCAGAAGGTTTTCTGCTTTACATTGTAACTCAATCAAACATTCGTATCATCGAGAACTATGAAATCGGTTTTCATTCTTATCTATCTGTAAAAATATTTTGTTTGTTTCATTCTCATATCGTTAAATCAGATAAATATTCAAATCGAAATTCCATTCATGTTTACAAATTCACATAAGCAGTAGCAACAAATTTTCTGTTGTCATGAGTTAAAGAATAAGTTGTGATGCTGAATGGAATACCATCACAAGTCATTCTGCAACTTCTATTTGGTCGCATATGAAAGCATAATGTATACAATGCCATTTCTAATTCAGGCGATGTTCCAATGAAAAATGAACTGACAGTTTTGTTTAAACCATTCAGACTGAAATTGACTTTCACTACCTGAGCGCGCTAGAGTTAAAATATTTATGGTTTAATTTGGAATCTTTTTGTTTTCGGACAAAATAAATATCTAACTTACATCTCTTAGTTTAACTTTTGATAGCCAACCCTTATAGTTCAGTTGATTATGCCTTTCAACGTTCCCAAAATAAATCCAATTATGCAGGCCAATAATTTTTCCTTTCTTTATTTCAGATAGGAATACATGCTCGAAACCTGACGAAGTTCTATTCAATTTTCTGTGTCTGGGATAAAAGTCAAACCATAAAGTTTTAATGAGTTTGAAATGATGATGTGGATCAGATGAAGTGAAACCGGCTTTTGCTAAAATTTCCATGGTCAGTCTATAAGGTAAATAAATTTTAAATCACGACAATTTTATTTTGAAATTATTGAAATTTACTTCATAACTGATGTTTCCATGATTAATTTAATGAAATCATTTTCTTCCATTTCTTCTTCGTCGGTTTTAATCTCATCAATCGATGAGTTCATTTCGAAATTGTCATAAAGTCGCTTCATATTTGTTATAATCGGATCATTGTTCAAGATATTTGTGTCAATCTGAAGAAGACTTTACAGAAAGTCAATTAAAATATTTAACGAATTGATTTGGGATTTGTGTCTCTTACGATTCTGGGGCTTGATCTTCTCCAATATTTGATGCATTTAGAAAGCCTTGGTAATTTACGTTAACTAAAGATAAGAAATTTTTCTTATCTTCATCAAATAATGATTGAGAAATGATTTTCAGTTCTGCATTCGTTATTGTGTCGTTGTACTTCTTTTTGTTGTTTCTTTTTGATAATGTCGGATCGATGTGAACTGTAATGAATGTTCGTTGACATGGGTTAGTATAATTGACTGTTAATAACTGAATGACAATAACGTCATGCTGAGAAGACTTACAGAAAGTCACACCAAATATCGCACCCACAATAACTGTCAAAAATCGCATTATATGATTTGAGAATTCACTTAATCGTTGAAACTGTTTATGTGAATGTTGAGAGAACACTAAACACTTCTTGAGTTTCAGCTTTGCGGGAGATCAGATAAAGACTTCGAGGAATTCTGTAAATAACACTCAGTCGTTGCACGTTTCTCTTTCAGCTCTTTTCTCTTTGATTGCTTGTTTTTAAAGTCACGAAACTTTTCGTGACTGTTGTCATGTTAAAATTGTGACAGGAATGTTTTCAACAGAAATGCATAGCAAAAAGCACAAAACATATTGTTTTAAAGTTTTTTATGTAATCTTTTCATGTGACGTAACTGACATTTGATGGAATGAAACCGTAAAATTGAGATTATTATATTAATAACCATAGCAAATCTAACTGTAAATATTGAAGAATGAGTCGTTGAATGAACTCAAGATATTGATTCTCTCGATTCGATCTCTGTACCAAAATATTGTTCAATTATTTGTAAATATTTACAGAATAAACATGGAAGATTCCAATAATTTCGTATGCTGATAAATTAAAATTTATATTTCATGTCGAAATCATTAAAAAATAATTCATTGCAGTTGTTCAATTAAATATTTTTAAATAAATCTTGCAGTGAAATCACAAATGCTGTCAGATTTGTCTGCACTTTTGCAGAAACTGACAGCATTTGTCGGATGCAAGAATCTAAATTAGAAAACCACAAACCTTTTATATGTTCTTCAATGCTGGGATATTCAGTGTCCACACTGACTATCATACTTGCCTTGTCACGAACTGGGAAGTTGTCTGCCTTATGGTTCATTTGAGAAAGTATGAATTTTCTCTTCGTTATAATTTATGTTAAGCTTTATTCATTTCTAGCGACTGTATGTGGGCAAAGTAACATGGCAACAATCGCTAAATTAATTTTACTTCGTTCTGTATGAAGATTTATAATTTTCCTCGATTATTTTTCGAGCTTAAACATAAAGCTAAAGCATAAAGCAAAGCACAAAGTATTTATAATCCCCCAAAATAATTCACCCCACCGGCAGGCAAAGTTCTCTTTTTGTTTTTGGTTTCATTATCCTGCATTTCACCTCAAGATACAAAAACATTTTCTGTTATACCGCGTCGTTTTCCTCTTTCAACTCGCAACAGCTACGATTTTATCAGCCATAAATTTCAACTTCCACGAGAGTATTTTATTATTGTTTAATGTCTAATTTCAAGAAAGCGCCAAGCGTCGTTGAATGTGAACGGACACTAAGTCGCAAGGCAATGGAATTCTCCTTCAAAGCATGAGAACGGATGGGGTGGGGTGTAGTGTCAGTAGATGGTTGATTTCGGAAGTGAGATGAGGGGAGAATTGCGAGAATGATAAAAAAATGCTACATAAAAATAAATTAACTTTTACAAGATGAATTAAGATAGAATGACAAACAGAAAAATTCGCTTATTTTCGCTTGGGTGCCGTTGGAGCTTCTCATATATAACGCTTCACTTATTCTTCTTCTTATTATTGTGTCTGTTTTGTGTTCTTCGTCTAATTTCGTCGACCATCGCATCACTTTTCCACAGATAGCAGGAAAAGCTCTTATTAGCGACCTTTCTCTCCCACGAGCCCGTCGTGTGACTCACTCCAAAGAACGGAAAAAACGAAACGGAAGCAAAGTGGAAACTGCGAGCCAATTTGCGACTCGACATCTCTCTCTGTGGCACTTTTGAATCGTGAGATACTTAAGTTAATAAAATGTTAAGAAGAAAACTTTCCTTTTTTTCCTTTTCTCTAAAGAGGTCGATAAACAAATAATTCTCATGGCTTTCACCCTTTTTTCGTCAGTTCTGTTCAGCATCTTGAGAAAAAAAATTTACTTCACTTTTTTCTATCTCAAAATATTTACTCCAATTAGCTCTGAAAACAGAACATAACGAGAAAGAAGAGAAAAGTATTTAATTAGCAACTTTAAGCTCTAATCGTATGCTAGAAATTCCCCAGTCAATTACATGTAAATTCATTCACTTCAACAATTTTCATTTGATGTAAATGTCGTCATGAAAGCTTTGAATTTACAATGATCAGAATTTATTCAGCTACCTAATTAAATTTTCGAAATGACATTTCTAAGTCATCATTCATTCATTAGTCGATAATAAACTATTAATAACAATGATTTATTAACATCAATGATGTTTCCTTACATCATCACATTTGTCTTAACCTTTTCCAATAAATTATTGCGTGATTTCTTCATGCTGTTTGGAATATTTGTTGGTTTTGTTGTCTCGTGTTCGTCAGAAATGTCTTCTTCTGCTTTTTCTTTTCCATCTTTGTTATCGTTCGACATCATTGAATTTAATTCTGAAGTCATTTCTCGGTTTCCATTACCATCATCTTCTGTTGTTTCACTCGATATGTTTTGATTTTCGGAAATTTCTCTGCCACTTGAAGGAATTATGTTTTCATTGTCAAGATTGCTTTGAAGATTTTCGAGCTTGATTTTGTCTTTAATGGAAAATTTTCTGTTTGTTGATGCTTCATTTATCGGAAGCTGTTCGTTAACAATGTCAGAAATCTTTTGAGTGCCTAAAGAATCCTTTAAGCTATCGATGATGACCTCGTCGGAATCTTCAAAAACGTGAAAGCTTGGTGATGCTTGTGGAAAACTTTCTGGCATTTGACTGCCTAGGTTTTCGCTCTCAACGTTCAATGATGAACTCACAATAGCGTTGAGAGTGCTTAGAATTGGCGATGATGATGATATTGAAAGACCTTCGTTATCTCTAACAACGTCACTTTCCAACTTCAAAGATTCTTTTTCATCCATATTGAAATCGACGAAATGATCTTTGACATCCAAATTTGAATTGATTTCTTCTTCAATTACATTTGAGAATTCTTTTGTGCTTTCTATCGAAGCTTCATCCGACTTTAAATCGTTATCAGAAAGTTTAAAGTTCTTCGAATCATCTGGCGAATCTTTCAAGTCATTGTCAATATTTGACGCTGATAATTCTATCGTTGGAATTGGAAAGTTTTCGATATTCTTCCCGATTATTGAATTTATAGTTTCTTCAACGATGAAAGTTGATTTCGGGTCTTCATCAGGAAGATGTTCAATGAAAGAATCAGAACTTTTTTCACTTGAAACTTCAAAGTTTTCGTTCAGAATATCTTCGATTGAAGCTTCAAACTCTTCAATAGCATTTTCTGGTGTTAATGTAGAGTAACTCTGGAAAATTTCTTCAATATCTAACATCGTGTTCAACTCTGAAGTTTTAAACTTTTCCAATGATGATTCAAACTCCAGTTCAGTCACGCTTTCTGTCGAAAATTTATGTTCATCGTGATTAGAATTTCGTGATGTGTCAAGGTCATGTTTTTGAATAGAATTTAAATCAGACGAAGTTGTTGATTCAATTTCACTGTGAGGTTCTTTCAACACGTCAGAAGATTTCGTATCATTGGTCTTAAATGAAAATCCTTCGGAGCTTTGATCTTCAAAGCGTTCAGATTCTTTTTGTGAGCTAATCGTTTGAGCTTTGTGGAAATCAGAAGTGTCTTCGACTGAATGTGAAATCATTTCCACAATTACGGTGTTTTTCAAATTTTCTAAAGATTCTTCTGATGTAGGCATTGAAGGACTTTGAATTTCTTTTTCTCTTTCATCAGTTGTGTGAGTTCCTAAGTCTGTAAATGTTTCTGTCGGTTTCGTTTCTGAAGAGGGTTCGTTTAATGAAACGATTTTATCATTCTCTGATGTTAAATTCAATGAACTCGTCGTGGTTTCATCATCATCATCGTCAGTGCTTTTTATTAAACTAACACTTGATTGTGACGATAAAATACTTGACATTTCTATTTCAGACCCTGCAACATCATCTTTCAAACTTGAAGGAACGACAAAGTTGTCACCATTGAAAGTTTTGAAAGATGAACTTTGCAGTGAACTTAGAACTTCAATCGGTGAATCATTTCCATCAGATATTTGTGACACCTTTTCATCTGAACTTCTTCCATTCACTCTTTCATAATCATTTGAATGGAATTTTCTTTTCTTTGTCTTTGCTTTAAATATTTCCACAACAACTGGTGGTTGATCTAAGGATTCATTAAGTTGTCGTGATTTAATTGCTTGTTGCCAAGGGTGCGTCGCCGCGGAGTTTTCCGATGCTTCATCATCACAAAGAAATTTTACACAACACCATTTTTTATTGTCATGGTTTTGAGTGACACTCAACCTGATCAAAAGCCACAAAAAAGTTAAAAAGTTTTCATTTAAATAAAAAAACCTCAATAAAATACAGAATGGTAAAAATTTAATGAAATTCTGAACTCACTCGCTTGTGTTTACCACAACAAAGTCATCTTTTATGCAACTGATTGGTTGAAGTTCATAGTAACATTCGCCCATCATGATTGTACACACTGCGTGAAGTCGTTCAGCCAACACTACATGAATAACAAAGCTGAAAACTACTGCTAGAAGCGTCAAAAATTTCGTCATGTTTGTAATTTTTTGAGTTTTTAAACTTTGATGAAAAATTGTCGACTGAATGGAATTATCAAGGGAAATTTCCTTTTATGTTGACGTTCCAGCAATTCAAAGAGAAATGTGTTTTTATTATTTTTATCACTACACTAGCGTTTTAATTAAATCACGAATTGATCATAAAATATTCTTCACCTTTGTGAAAAAAATTCCAAACATTGCAAAATGTGTCGCAAAAGACATGCCTGGTAAGATGAAAATAATTTTCAAAAATGCATGACTCATCACAAAAAATCAACCCGGAAAATGACTCGATAAAAGTAAAAAGAAATATTTTAGATTTTCAGATTAAATGTATTTGCTGATATCATTTCATAAAAACGTATCAACTCGAATTAAATGTCCACGAAAAGATTTTACAAAACAAAATTAAGAAATTTGAGAATTTTTAAAAAATACGAGACTCAGTGGCAATTTCTCCAACTGGAGATTCATCGTCATCAGACATTTGCACTTCTTCTGGTTTGTGGATGTTGCATTGAGATTTCTTGGAACCAATCCAAGGAACGAGATTGTAGTTAGCAAAGTTTCGGAAAAAGTTTGAACGTTTAGGCTTCACTTCTGCTTCAGCTTCATCAATTTCACTCTTCGGTTTTTTGCTGAAAAGTCGACTGAACGTGTTTGATGGCTTAGGAACTTTCATTTCTTCTTCCCCGAAAAGATTATCGCAACTTTTAGCCTTCTTGGCTCTCAAACTAAAGAATTTCGATAAGGAATTGCGTTTTGTTTCATTGACAGCTGAAGCCTCGTCAAAAAATTTTCCTGCTGGTTCTTCGACTTCCAAATTTACTTCTTCCAGCTTTGTTGTAACTTCAGTCATTTGTTTTTCAATTTCTGTCATTTTTTTCCTTTAAGAGTTTCTTTTCCGCTATTTTTTAATTTCAAGTAAAGATTTTCAAATTAAATTTCACGGAAAATTAATCGATGTCTTGTCATTTGTCACAGATGACTGAGAAGTTTTTTTTTTGCTTATTTGGGAACATTTTCAATGATATCTGAAAAGCATTTAGGTGCACTTAAATACTTCTACTTGGCCACATTTTCTACCGTTTATCAAGAGGATTTAAATGAAAGCATCATTTAATTAAATACCATAAAACCTTTTTAATTAACGTTAAAGACAACCCTGCTAAACATTTGTTCAAAAAGAAAATAAAGCTGATTCAATCGAAAGTAAATTTCATCCCTTCAATTTCCATTTTCTTTTCAATTCAATTCTCAAACGGTAGGAGTTGAGGAGAAGAAAAAAAATCTTTTGTGAAGTTTTGATGTTTAATCAATCAAAATTAAAACGGAGGAAGGAGAATTATTCGTGGGTCAAGGCGTGGGTGTAGAAGATGAAAAGAAGATAAAAAAAATGGGGAAGAAAGAAAAAAAGATCCGCAAAAGGAATAAAATCTAATCATTTCCACCACAGCGCACTCAATTGACCTTGCATAATTAAGACAAATTGATAAATGAGAAAGTTTTCAAAAACTTTATGTTTGCTCTAAGTTCGTGTTATGCTTTCTCAAATTCTTCAGATCAACTTTGACAAGTCGTAAGAGCTTTCCTTTAAAATATTATCGTCGGGATTCATCCAGTCTAACTCTAATTCTTCACTCACAAATTGAAATGGATCGGAACGAAATGCGAGTTGTGGAAACTTTTCAAATTATCCTTTTTCTTTTCCATTACAAAACAAACTGTTACGCTAAACCGCGTTCAAGGTCTTCAGAGGTTTTCGATTCTGCATCTTAAACTTAAACTTTTCAAACGATTTAAAATAAGAAGAGACTTGGGTTGAGAGATAAGATTTGAAAATGGTTCTGTTCGATTATCATCGTGGCAGACACTCAATGGGAAGATTGGTCTAGTATAAACAGAAACGAAAAGAAAATATTCCTTTAGGGAAAAAACATTTCTATTAAAAGCTTGTTTCAAAAATCTTTTCTCTTTCGGTTGTTTGCTAGCTGTCAATTCTAATATCCTTGCAATCCTTTATCTTGAGAGTTATCTACGACGAGATCTTGAAGGCACTCGTTCTTCGCAAGAAAGAAAAATTTGGATCAGACGAAAAGTGTAAAAGATAAATAAATTGAAAAGCAATTTTTGCGAAGCAGCGGAGAGAAAGAAACAAATGGCTTGGAACTGAAGTTGAAGAAGACAGTGAAGTATGGGAGGGTAAAATATCGGCAGGAAATTTAAAACAAAAGGAAAGAAGAGATGTCTTCCCTTTACACATAACTCCAATGGCATGTTTTTCATTAAAAAATCTCAAAAAATGGCTTCTTTGACATATAGAGAGATATGTGTGAAAGAAAGGAAATAAAAGTGTTCAATTGAGTGGAAAATAAAAATTATTTCGCATGATTCCTTCCGGAAAATTGAAATATCCTTTAACTTTCACTTGAGAGATTTCATATTAGATCGGATCTGGTCACATCCATTTAATTACAGAATTCTTCAAGTCAATTAAATTACAATCTATCTATGCAAATGTAAACTTCCTTCTTCAATCAATGATGCATAAAATGTTCGAAATCCATAAAAGCTTCTTTTTAAATTTAAAATTTCCGTTAAAAAGCTTAAAATTTTAAAATCGAGCTTTTTCTTAATTTTTTATTGGAAATAAGTCAATTCAATGATAAGATAAAGAAAATTTCTCTACAAATACACGATAATAAAAGGCCACTTCCAGAGTATAAATAAAACAGGCTATCAGCAAACATTCGCTAGTTGTTTGAGAATGTATCATTTAATAATTAACTTTTGTTACATTTTGTTATCGATAAATGGTGAGAATTTATTGTTTCTGAAAATCCTTAATTATCGCTTTGATTTATTCTTTATTTGACAGTTTTATACGCTTCACCTATAAGCAATGAAATTGGGAACGAATTTGTACTGACAAAAGATGTTAAAATGAAAAATCGTTGGGTTCTCATACCAGACACTAATGGAAGAATGCATTTGGTTGATATGAAAGCTTACAAACCCAATCACGAATCACAACCAGTGTTCAATGTGAAGAGAGACGTGAAATTTATTTTGTCAACACAACGTGTTCAAGGAGTTGAAATAAAAATGAATTTAACATCGCTTTTGAATGCTCGTTTCGGAAAAAATCACCCGACACGATTCTTAATTCACGGTTGGAATGGCGACATGACATCAGCTGTTAATGAGAGAGTCACAAGGGAATATTTGAAACGAGGACAATTCAATGTGATATCAGTTGATTGGTCAAAAGGCGCTGGTAAGTTTCCAACATTGCTTAACTAATAGAAAACTTTACTGCTAACAAAAAATAATTTGGCATCGAATTCTTGTAAGCAATTACTTAATTACTTCTCCTAAAGGGACGCTTGATTACATCGCCGCAAGTTATCGAGTGTATGAAGTTGCAAATTTCACAGCAAAGTTCATTGATTTTTTGGTAGAACATGGCTACATACGATTTAATAATATTCATGTAATTGGACATTCTCTTGGGTTGGTTTCTTATGATGAATTATGTTGAACAATTTATTTTAATCTTCTTTTGGTTCCCGTAGTGGTCACACAGCTGGATTAGTTGGAAAATACGTAAAGGGAGGGAAAATCCGAGCTATCTTTGGTCTTGATCCCGCTGGGCCTTTGTTTGATTTAAATAATCCAGAAGAGAGAATCGCAGCGGATGATGGGTAAAGGATGAATTCTTTAATAAAGATTGATTGTTTTATGTTTTCATCGTAGGGAATATGTCGAGGTTCTTCATACGAATGGAGGCTTTTTGGGCATTGGTTCACCAATTGGGCAAGCAGATTTCTTTCCCAACTTTGGACGATGGCAACCAGGATGTGGCATCGATTTAACTGGCACTTGTTCACATAGTCGAGCTCCAGAGTTCTTCGCAGAATCAATCAATAGCAATGCTTTCATTGCAACACGTTGTGCTTCTTTTAAAGAGATTAAAAATGAACGTTGCACGACGGAATGGCTTAATGAAAGGATCATGATGAATCCAGAAGCTATAAATACTAATTTAAAAGGAGTTTTCTATTTTTCAACCAATAAATACTCGCCTTTCGCTGTTGGAAGGCCAACCTGAATAATCTTTTCAATGACTGCAAATAAATGTGCGTAAAAGTTTATCATTTGATAACTCGACTTGAATATTTTATTTAATGAAGCCATAAGATAAGATAGCAACAACATTGAATTCTAGAAATCATATTTTAAATGCGTTGTGAAAAAAGAAAACAAATCATATTTGATTAGCTTCACGTGAGAGTTTAAAAATACTTGTGATAAGGCAACTAAGAAGTCAACTACCTACTTGACTTCATTTCGAATCAAAACCTTTTTGTTTATGGTTAATGATAAAGATTCGAATCGCTTGTCTACAACTTCCTTGGCATTGTTAACAATGCCGCGTATTTTTTAATCTTAAACTCAGCTGGTGATAATAGTTAAAGTGTTTCTTTTTTGATATCACATTAGGGTATAAATTTGATTAAAATTCGGGAAAATTTTTCAGTGTTCCATTTGAAAATGAATAAGTTTGGTGCTTTGATTATTTTGGTATTGGCAAGTGGTTAGTGTTGTCAACTTTTCACTCAAGTTCAATTTAAGGATTAATTTTTCTTGAATTCTGCAGCTGTAACTTCGTCCCCACTTCTCCGTGATGAAACCGACGACATTTCACCTTTAAGAGAATTTAAGGAAGAAGTGAATGTCGATGATCCAAAACATCGTTGGGCAATGATTCCAGATGGCGATGGCAGAATGCATTTAATTGATTTAAATATTTATCCCGTTGATATTGAACCATCGTGGAATGCTGATCAAGATGTTTTTTTTCTACTTTACACCCGAAGAAATCCAACAAGTGGAGAACGAATCACGTTTAATGCAGATGCAATTCGAAACACAAACTTCAATTCTGGTGCTCCTGTTCGCTTTGTCATTCATGGATGGAATAACGATCACACATCAGCAGTCAACACGCAAATTACTTCTGCTTATCTTCAAAATGGGGAATTCAACGTCGTAAGTATTTTTCTCAAGTGTTGAGCATTGATGATTGAAAAACAAAAAACCAAATTAAGATTTTTTATCACATGATTTCTTTTCTTCTTAACAAAAAACTCAGATTGTCGTTGATTGGGGAGCGGGTGCCAATACAATCGACTACGTAAGTGCCAGAAATAGAATCAACTCGGTCGCAGATGTTGTTGCGAGATTAATTGACTTTCTTGTGAATAATGGACTAACACAAACTACTCGTGTTTATGTCGTTGGCCACAGCTTGGGTGGGTGTTTGAAATAATTGGAAATGATTTCCTTTTTTTTAAGTATCAATGGAAATAATTTTATTAGGTGGGCACACAGCTGGTCTTACTGGTAAACGAGTGACAAGGGGAAGACTTCCTTACATCATGGGACTTGACCCAGCTGGACCTTTGTTCAGTACGGGAAATGTGAATGAGAGAATCGATGCTGGAGATGCGTAAGAAAGAAATTCAGATTTTTTTTCATTACATTGACATCTGTTGCATCTCATTCCATTAAAATATTTTCTTAGAAACCAAGTGGAAATTATGCATACAAATGGATGGACTCTTGGTTTTGGAGAGCCACTTGGACGTGCTGATTTCTTCCCTAACGGTGGGAGATCACAGCCTGGTTGTGGAATTGATTTGACTGGTTCATGTGCTCATGGAAGAGCTCCAACATATTTTGCAGAATCATTAAATTCAGCAGCTGGTTTTGTTGCTAACCGTTGTGCAACATTTGCTGAAGTTGATCGTAATCAATGTACAATTCAATCGAGTGGACATAGAATGGGCGGAGAGCCTCCAAATTTGACCCATAATGGATTTTTCTTATTAGCTACAAATTCAAATGCTCCATTTGCTAGAGGCTAAGAAAATAAACATTTATTGTGTTTAAATGCAATTTTTTATTCTATAAATTGTAGACTTCTTTCACATTTCTATAAGAAATTTTATTTAGTGCCGATGTGATTATTAAAGAATAAAATTAAAAAAAATTGAGTTTGCAGTTTGTGTTGTTTTTTTTAATGGCGTTAAAGCTCTAATTGTGATTTGTTTTCATTTGATGATATTTCGGAACAGAAATCGGAAAGTAATTGTTTTTGTTGTATCAAAAAGCGATTCGTTGGAAAGAATTTAACACATAAACCTCGTTTTAAATAGTTTAGCTCATGAGCTTTTGAAAGCTCTTCAAAAAGTTTCAGAGAATGATATAACAAAGTTACACTTGCTTACCATTAAACGAATTGAAAAGTGTCCAGGAAGAGATCTTAGAACTTTATCCATCCATTACACTATTCGTTATTCAATTTAATTTTTCTTCAACTTCTAATTGCAACATTTAAAGAATTTTTTAATACATAAATGACATGAGATGGTCAAGAAGAGTACACGGGAAAGTCCCATAAATAATTAACAATATTTTTTCTCTCATTTACTTCTATTTGTTGTTTAATTGCCCGAGAATTTTTATTTCATTCTGTCGTTTATCTCTCAGTTTTTACGTTCAATCCTAAAAACTTCGGCTAACGTAAAATCACGATGAAATTTTTGCGATTATTTTTGTTTTTAATTAAAGTTTGATTGCAGTGTAGTATAGCGAAAGATTACCGTAGAAATAAATCAAAGCTCTCTTAAAACAGAAACATATTTGGGTTAATGGCGAGTTTTTGTTATCCTGGTCGACTGTAAGGACTCGGTGAAGCTGATGGTGGCGTGGGTGTTTTAATGCCACGTGTGACGCCATCACCTTCGCAAATATATTTTCCTATAATGAAAAGTTTAATTTATTTTAAAAGTAATTAAAAATTTTGTGATCTCTAATTTACCTGCAACGAAACGTCGTTTCACCAAAGAAATTCTGTAACCACTTCCGCTCAATTCAAAATCAATTCCAGATAAAGTTGTACCTTCACAATTGAATTGTGTGGTCAAAATTGCAGGCGTAGATGGTCCATTGCCAATTTCTAAGCGAGCTCTCAATGTATCGATTCCACCATTGTCAGAATGTTGAGAAATGTCAGTAAAGTTCCAAATAAGTTTGTTCGATTCACCAAGCCTACAATTTAAATATTTTAGTAAATTCTTTCTTCAATTTTTTATTTCTTTTACCATGCTGAATGCGGCTTTGATTGCACATTTTTAACGCCTCCGTCAACTGGCACGGAAATTGACACATTTAAAAGAGGCGAAGGTGATGCCATCGAATGACTATTGTACTTATAATCGATCTTAATGTCAGTGTGAGTTGATTCGCACTTCCAGTATGAGACAAGTTGGAATGGACAAGATTGAGCGCCTGGTTTACTTTTTACAGTATACTTGAGAATATCAACATTGAAATAAGAAGCTGTTGGATTTTGTTCTGATTGACGACGCAGGAGAAGTGTCAAAGCTGACATATTAAACTCAAGTGTTGTTCCTAAACTCGTTGATTGAAGCTTCTCACTAAACAATCATAATGAATGACAATTTCAAACTCTTAAACTGATTAAAACACTTACACATTGATAAGCTGCTTGTTCGGTAAAATATTCTCGAGATTCTGAACATTTTTAATACGGAAGCAAAGCTTGGCGGGATTAGGATTATTGGCGAGAACATTGACAATACCAGCAGGGAAGGAAAGCATCATATCGCCAGATATTTTCACCTGACAGCGAGATTCATCGCTTCCTCTGTTAAATGAAAGAAATTTAATTAAAATTATGGTAAAAAAAGGAATAATTGAAAAATTACTTGAAAAATGCATGAATAATCTCATGGAAGGCAATTGCAAGTGGAATTGTATCACTCATGCCAATTGTTAATGGCGATGGTCCGCGAGAACCAAGCCCAACACCAGCTGTTCGGAATTCTAAACTTCCAACACTGTCAGCTCTTGCCATTGTCGCAGGTGACACACGACCTGCACGTATTTGTTCAGATCGTCTTGATGGTGGTCGTGGAATGGCAATTGAACTATTTGGAGTTGGAATTTGTCGTTGAAGTTTTGACGTGCTTGATGCAGATGCTGGTGCTGAAATGTCACCAACTTCAGAGAAGATATCGCCAAGATCAGCATAGCGGTTGGATCTGTGAAAAAGGAAAGAAAATTAAATTTAATTCGTTTATAGCAGTGGTTCTCAAACAGTTTCTCAATATTTACGCAAAAAGTTGATTATTTTCAAACTCATATCATAAAAATATATTTTTCTATCTCGTTCAGATCAAACTTTCAGACATTTAATTATTTTTAACAAGAATTAAATGCAAAAACTACAAAAATCTAATCAAATGTGTCGTAAGTCAAAAACAGTTTGAGAAACACTGCATCTACATGATTATTAACATTGAAGATGAAAACTTACGTGGAATTATTCGTCAATGACAATGTTGGACTTTGAAGTGGCGCATAAGGATGAGCTGTTGTTGGTGTACTCGCATTTGATGCAATTGGACTCTGCTGATGTTGCTGAAAAACATGATTAAGACTCATTATGTCACCGGCTTTATCAGCCATCTGTTGCGACATTGACTGAGATCTCTTCATGTGTTCATTTTCATTTTGTGAACTACGACGTTCTTTGAACGAATTCAGATTCTTTTTTTTAAAGCACAGAAAACACACACATACACACAGAAATATGAGCGTTATGTGAGTTAGTTACGTTTTGATAAAGAATTTTTTACGATTGTGGCCGAAATATGAAGAAAAAAACATGAAAGTAAAAAAAGGAATGGCATGAAATATGCAAAGATTAGAAAACAAATGTGAGCTTGGAATCTCAACAGTGATTCCCAACATTTGTTGTAAGGGATCATTGAAGGCTTTTATCGCAACGATTGCATGTTCTCATTTATAATTGTTGGGAGAAAAGCCTGCAAAGTTTCCCTCACTGAATTTTATGATAGCATTTCTATGAAGCAACAAAATAAAGCGGAAAAAAAGCTTCAAGTGAAATGGTGAGTACTAAGGGGATGAAAATCTCTGTTCACATCCCCTTTTTAAAACAATAAAAAGACGAAAAAAGAAAACTAAATAAACTTTCTTACCGAAAGTACACCAATGGGAGATAATGAGAGATTCTCGACTGTCGCACGAAGCTCATCAACCGATGCGGAAATTGGCGCAGTTCCGTTGTTTAATGGCTTAATTTCAACATGAATTTTACGTTCTATTTCATCTTCACTGTCACTATCAGAACTTGAATATGAGTTTGCTTTAAAGAAATAATTAATAAAATAAACAATTTAATTAAAGACTTTATTTATTTTACTTTTCTGTGGCGATCCATTCTTCTCCCAGCTCTCCATCGGTGGCTTAATTGAATATTCATCTTCATCAACTTCAGGTGTGGCTGTCGGTACAACAACTGATGATGAAGTAAATGTTGGTGTTGTGATGGTCGCATGTGATGTTGTTGGTTGACTCGAAACCATTTCCGGTTTCAATGAGCCACCTGATATTGCTGACAACGTGTCATCTTTCTCTTCTCTGTGTAACGAAAGCAAAAATTGACGTCATTCATGAACTTCAAACCAACGAAAAAGTAACAACTTACGTATCTGATTTCGTTTCTTCTTTCGTGCTGTTAGCTTCACCATCTTTCTTCTTTTTGCTGTTCTTCTTGGACTTTGCCTTTTCACGACGACTTCTTAGAAAACCCGAAACTATGCAATCATTTTGTGCGTTTTTGGTAGAAAATAAAAATGAAAATGGAGAAAGAGAGAGAAAGAAAAAGTTTAATTTTAATTAATTTAGTAAAAAAATTACGACCTCTAAAAGTAGTGTTTATAACTACAACTACTCATAACTCTATTTAAATTAACTATGTGTATCCACCTAGAAAAGAAAATATGAAAACTGAAAAAAATGAAATTTCTACTCATGCTTGAAAGAAATTCATTTCATATTTTCTTGTATAAAAATAAACAAGCTAAGCTTACGCCATTCTCCATCACCCATGCAAATTGCAGTGAAGAAAAATATGAAAACGCATGTGATGGTGGAAGGAGAAGCGACAAAACAAACAAAACAAACAAACTAACAATAAAATGTTATAAATTGTATGTAAATAGGTCAAAGTCATGGTGCTGCAATCGATTATTTCTTTCATCTCATCCTTCATTCAACTTGAAAATAAAATTTTCATTAATCATCTGAATTCGAAATCAAAGAAAATTTATTCAAAAACTTTCTTGGTAAATATCTCGATTTGAATGAACGATAAGAAAGAAAAGTCGAATAAATTTCATGCAATCAAATTCAAATACAAAGAAAAGCTTTCACCTTAAATTTCAATGCTAAAAGCGTAAAAAATTAATTAATTAAATATAAAAACATTTTTTCGAGCCGTGAATACAACATAAATCACAACATCAAGCATTTCCCTTAAAAATACAAAAAATAATTTATTTAAAAAACACTTCCCGCCCACTACAAGCACGAAATAAAGAACAAAGACTGATAGAATGTTTACTTGTTCTCCAAACGGGTCAACCTTTCATTATTATTATTTGGGAAGGGTTGGGAGATATAAAAAAAGAAATGAAAACGAAAAAAGCTGTGAAATGAAAACACAATTTTCAAATGTCTAAGCAACTTTGTGTCTCTACTAAAACATAAAATGAAATTAAAATTAATGTTGAGTTGAGTGTTTAAAATATTTTTCTTTTGCGTTACACGAATGTGAATAATTTTTTATCTTTCTGATGTTTTCGAAATATCTGCCGGTGAAATTTTGTTTAATTTTAAAATTTGCAAACGCAAACAACAAGGAAGAAGAAAAGTTATAAGTGAAATTAAATACATGCATGAAAAAGAAGCCCAACCGGAAGATAAAGAAAAAAAAATTGTTGTAGGTATAAAAAATGGTGAAAATCAAAAATAAAAGTTTACATTTTGATCCACGCAACGGATTGCGTCCAATATAAGTCGATAAAGGTGTTTGATCGACAGGGCTGGTTGGTGCTGATAGAACTTCATTATTAGCATTCGAATCACGACTTCCTGTAATTTTGGTCATTTTATTCATTTCATTAACGCTTTTGCTTTCTTCTTTTGCCGTGCTTTCATTGAAAGCTTTTGAAAAGCTTCTTTTTGTTTGTTTTGAAACTTGAAAATCATTCACGGAAAAAAATTCATTTAAATATTTAATCTCAATGCTTTTTAAAATTCACAACTAAAAATTTGAATAAATAAAAACCAAGAAGTGAAGTTAGAAAATGAGAAAAAAAAGTCGCGAGTCGTGTTGCGCAAGAGTGGAATGAATGAAAAAGAATTAAAATGTAATGTCTTTTAAATATATTAGCGACTAGATGTGAATGATTTCTGGCGGGATTGTTATGAAAGCAGCTGAGTATTCATGTATGCAAATGAATCAGATAGAAGAGAATGAAGTCAAAAACAGACAAAAAGGAGAAAAAAAATAAAAACTTTCAAAATGAAAATTATGCAACGTTCTCTTGACTGCAGATTTATGTTTTTTTTTCTTAAATATCTTCTTCTCTTTTTGTTTGTTCTTGTTTTCAATGTAAATGTGTGTTTGTTTTACCCTGGGAATTGGACATGAAGAGATTTAAGAGGGAAGTAGTGCGGCGGGAAGATTTTTGTTGTGGTTCTTTTGACGGTTGTTCCACCGCATGTTGATCCAACGCTGACGATTTGTTACCATTTTTGTTAAATTTAAACATTTCCCCATAACTTAATTTACTACTTATTTTCGTACTTGGGGGAGACGCACCCTCCTGTCCATTAGATGATGTCGCTGTTGCTGTCATTGTTTCATTTTGTTGCGAACGGTGAGCAACTGTCAAAGGACTTGCTGTTGTGGCACTCGAGGACGTTGATGTAGCCGACATATTGTGAACATTTGATGAAGTCGCTGATGTTGAACTTGACGATGCAAACCAGCTAAACAAATGGCTTTCTTTTTTACCACTTGTCGTTTGTAATTGTTGTTGATTCGAGGAAGATGACACAATCGATGGTGAGTCACGGGACGACAATGCCGTTGTATTATTAACACCAAACGATGATGAAATAGCGTGCAAATCATTTACACCCGATGATGATATTGTCGTTGTGTCGAGAAGTAAATTTTGTGATGGAACATTGGCACACAATTCGACATCAACATTCGCTGTTTAATTGTTGCGAAGAGTTTTTATTTTTTATTTTTATTTTTTGTTTCAATGAGTCAACAAAAGAAACGTTAAAAATTTTAATCGAAAGCAAGAATGTTTTCATGAAAAAAAAAGAAATAAATAAAACAAAATCACAATAAAAATCAAAGAAAAAGTCATGCAAGTCGTTAATAGAAAAAAATAAATAAAAGAAACTTGATCAATGTTTCTTAAATAAGGGAAACAATTCTGTTATGAAGAAGTTCTAGAACCAATTTGTGAAGCCTTTTAAAAGAAAATCTTTCAGAAACTTAAAAAACATGAAAAGTCGAATTGACATCTAATGAAATCAGCATTCTCGAGACATTTAAGAGCGACAATTTAATTTAAAAAATAGAAAGGAAAGTCTGAAATTGCATCACAATAAGTTTTTATTGCTGCACTTACCTGGCTTCTCCAACCCAGTGTATTTATTCAAAACAAACTGCTCCAACAATTTATCGACAGTTAAGTCTAAGAATTGACGTTTAAAATCAGTGTGAACCTGTTTTTTGATTTATTAAAGGGATTTTATTACTTTAGAAAGGATTTCAGTTTATTAAACTTACTTGTCCCACCAGATCGTGATTATTCTGAACAATTTCAATGTACATCATGATGAATTCTTTCATCTGCTTAAGATGTGCTTCTTCGACATCTTGAAAGCGCTGTTGAGTAGGTGAAATAAAAAACGAGTTCAAGTTGTTGGGTCACACTTGACTTGCTTACCTTGCATGTTACCGTCATTCGACGTTCAAACTCTTGTTTTATCGGATTTTGTTTTTCCGCCAAATTCTTGTATTCATCTTGAAGTTTCTTCATTTTCGCTTCAGCCTTTTCGATGTCTTTCGCTGATGCATTGTCTCTTCGAAGTTTCTCCACTTCTTGAAGACGAGCCTGATAAAGATCCTTCGACTTCTGTAACGCGACCGTCGATTCCTTCATTTGCTGAACTGCATCTTGAGTGCTCGATTCCTCTTCTTTCACTGTTTTATGTTTCTTGTGAAGTTCATCGGCATATTTCAAAATATTCTTCACCAATTCAGTTGTTTTCTGCACCATTTGTGTGTGAAGTTCCGATAATCGTTCAGCTGATGTTTTCAGGATGACTAAAAGTGGTGAAAATGTTCCCGAAGCACCACTCGAGCCCACTTTGTGAGCGAGTTTCAAAAGCACCTTTGAATTTTGTTCATCAAGACTTGAACGCTCTTTAAAATATTCCATCAGCTCTTTACTAGCCGCTACACCATGCTTCATGTTGTGGTAAAGCACCTCGTAGCCATTATTTTTATCGCCCTAATTGAAGTAGAAGTGAAAGCAAGTCCATTAATTAAAGCTATCAAAAGTCACAGTCCGATGAATAAAGCAATCTTCTTAACTTATGAGCATATCTAATGTGACCACGCGCGCGCGAAAAAGCTCTTCAAAAATAAGTTACAAAAAACAAAGATTAAGCAAAATCATCGTCATGGAATGTTTACTCGTCAAAAGCGACATAACATTTTAAAAATAGATCTGTGTTCAGAGAATGAGAAGAAGAAATAAATTTTGATGACGATTTCACTTACAAAGAAATTAATTATGACTTGAAATTCCTTGAAAAATATCTTATCGATGATAATAAAAAATGTTTTTATCAAAATCAATGTTTAACTTGAAGCTGAAGCGTCTTTTTCATTTCAAAATTGTCATTAAATATCCGGATAAAACTAGAATTTGTTTACATCGAAAATCTCAAAAATAATTAAAGAAACGAAGAGTGGAAAACTTCTTTTTTTTAAATTGGAATTAAACAACATAAAAACATAGCAAACGATGTGAGACAAGATTTTAAATTGTTCTAAACTTTAAATATTCCTTTAAATTTTTTTGTTTGTCAATGGAAGCGTAAAATTATTACGAAGTTGTTCGTCGTCTCGTTCGAGTGTATAAAAGTTTGTTGTTCATCGTTATTACATCAGGTTACACCTACGCGAACAACACCAGCATTTCTATGAGGCAGTAGACACAACAAACACCATATCTTGCCAATTATTATTCACGGAATATAATGGGAAAAGGAAAAGTAGCGAAAACGATGTGAAGTGGATCGTAATAAAAGAACAGTGAACGTTTGAATGTTGTAACAAATTCATTTTTAGAAATCTCTGGAAATTTACAACAAAGTTTTAACTGTAAAAGAAATATTATTAATGATTTGAACTTCTTTGAAACGTTCAAAAGGCGTTTACTGACCAGATAATATACGACTGTACATAAATATAAAAATAAAATATTTAAAAGAATTTCATTTCTCATATAGCGCAAAGATCATGTTGAAAAGTGCGATGGAGAATCATCAGTAAAAATATTTCAGAGACGCAATGGTAATCGACTCAATACGAAGCGCAACAAAACTCGAAAACGGCAAGAGAACCACAATCCATTAAGTCAGCTTGTGAAGTAAATTCAGTATTGCTTCATGTCTTGAGAGTTGAGACAACTTACAACTCAACTCAAGCGAGACCATAGAAAAATAAAGTTGAATGAATGAAAATGAAAGAAAAGAAAAATCTCATTTGATGATTGCGAAGTAGTTTTTGTGCAAGATTCAATTTTTTTTGTTTGTTTCATTTTTCTTAATATGAGAGAAAAATTATTTGTCAAGTCGTGAGATTTGTGGTTTGTCTTTGTAATGAATGAATGAATGTGTTTATCAAATGGTACAATCAGTGTGTGGGTGGTTGACAAAGAAAATCGTAAACCTCATTTAGTGTGTCATCAACCGAAAGTTAGTCAGTCAGTCAATCAAAGGTTTTTTAAACTGAATTCTCTCATCACACAAAAAAGTGGAAGACAAAAAAATATAAGAAACATCGATCCATCAAAAAGTAATAATTTTTTTTCCATTATGTTTTGCGTCTCTCTTTTGATTCATGAATTTCTGCTTGCGTTCGTTGTTCTTTCGACTCAAACCAAACCACTACTGGAGTAAAATCAATACAATACTCAAGGATTTGTAATTTACGTTAATCACACATAGTATCGTTATGAATATTTCAATGAATGGAACTTCTTCTCTGAAGGCAATGTCCTAAGCATAAACAGCAGAGAATATTAATAAATATTATAAGTATCTAGATACTTAGATATTTTCTTTTACGGTTTCATCAGCGTTTCATGCTCGCGTGCAAGCAATTTTCAATGCCAGAATCTTACAAAGCCATTCAAGTGGTACCAGATGTGAGAATAAATTACACAACTTTACTACTTCAGGTTTCGCAACCTTAAACTTTTCTCAAGGAATCGAGGAAAAACGCAAAGAATTTTTCAGAACTTACTTACATTTTTCCATCTACTCTTTCGAAAACTTCTAATGAAAAATCGAAAAACAGAAGCTTGAAATGAGTTAAGAATTTCAACCTTGCGAAAAACTGTCCTTGACTACGCAATGTTAATAATAAAGGCAAACAACTTGTAATTCACATGATTCCATAATCGTTTGTCGTTTCTAATTTCGCTTTACCATTTGCAGTTACTAAATTCGCTTTCTATAAACTGTTTGGCAATGTTAAAAACTATTTGAAATAAACAAAAAAAGGCTTGAAATATTTTCTCAATCGAATTGTTTGATAATGCATTTTATTATCGTATTTCTATCATATAACTAACGCTAAATGTTTCTTATCAATCAGTAGATTCTTGCTTAATTATATTCTCTAAAGGTGTCTGTGACGTATTCGTTAATCTAACATTTTCCTTCGTCCTAAAAACATTTTTTTTCGATATTTTCTATTTGTTTTTCTTATAAAATATAAATTTCTTATTATTTTTTCAACTCTTTTGCTTGCTTCTCGTCTTCTTCATCTTTGAAAAAAAGAAACAAAAGAAATTGTTTTCTCAATTATCTCACAAACAAAATATAAACAAGAAAAGAAAAGAAAAAAGAAGTTATTGTGAGTGTTTTCTTTTCATTTCTCTTATTTCCTTTATCAATGTTTCTTTTTCTTTTGAAGATTATTTCTTCAATTCATTTTATCAATGTACAATTTTTTTATATTTCTCCCCTTTTTTTCTTCTCATCTTCACGTTGATTAAACTAAACTAAACATGTCGACACTTAACAGTATAAGGAAAAAGCAAGCATGAAATGTCTGACGAGATGATAATCAATCTAATTTAACATTCATTCGTTGGTAGTTAGCTATGTCTATCGTCCGAGTGATATGAAAATGAATGAATCAAGATTGCTTATGATGAAATTAAATTATGATCACTTCGACAAAACACTTTCATGTAAGAATTATCAAAATATTATCAAAGTTTGATGAACTCTTAAAAAAAATGATGTTAATTCAAAAAGTGAAAATCAGCAATGAGAAAAATCCCACAATTGTGTTGTTGATGACAAAAGTTACGGTACTTTGGTCCATGACCATTACAGGTGAATCTATTTTTACAAATTGCTTGTTTTTTTTATCCTCGTATATTTTTTTTCTTCGAAAAACATCAGCAATGACCTTATTAACAGCAATTGAATCATTCTTTAATTTAATCATCGATTATTCCACTCTAATAATATTTCATTTGATGTTTCGCTGAAATATTGTCGTGTGAAGAATTTCACCAGCATTTTTTTTCTTTCTTTTGTTGTTGTTTCCTTTTTCAGCTTTTAAACGGATGAGAAGAGGGAAGTAGGCAGTCTCAATTAATTTTATTTATGAACTATGATTCAATCGAAGGGTTGAAAATTATTATTCTGTGAAAACGAAATAATCTTTTAGAGATCAAATAAAAATTGTTGTGAAAGTCACACAAACATTACATAATTATTTGGAGTTTGGGTGGCGATTTTTTCCTTCTTCTATTTTTCATATTTTTACACCTGAGATATCGTCACATTGATTCCCAGATTTCCATTATCAGCGAACAATTGAGCTATTGATGTATCAAACACTAAACAGTCGCTATTCATGATGGCACTGCTGATTCCTTCGTGAATACTTCGAGGCATCGCCTCCCATGTCAATCGACGACGATTCCCGTTCAGTTCAAGGCGATAAGCGAAATTTTCAGCTTCTTTTCGAGAGCCAATAAGTTGAACAATTGCGAAAAACTGTTGGTGACCGTCAAATTTTTCTTGCTTTTCAAGAACTAACATGAAGTTGTGACCAAAGCAAGATTGCATCATCACCCAGTCGACGGCCCCGGGAAGATTAATGTCAGTCGCGAGGAACACAATATCCTCACCTTGCAATGTCGTGATACTTTTATGATGCATTATAAGATGTGGCATGACTGAATCAAGAGAGCCCTGCCATTTACAACTTGCCCCGGGACACGGACACAAGTATGGTCGAAATTCACATATTTCCTCATGATCGGGCTTTTCTGTGTATACGAGCGAAGCAGCACAGCCATTGTTTGAGTGCTTGCACGGAAATTTTACGTTTGATGCAACCTTTTCCATAGCTAAATTTCTAATATTTCCCAGAGAACCTCGGCAAGTTGGACAACAAGTTAACTTAGAGCGGCAACTGGAACAGACAAGATGGCCCATTTGACACTGGAGAATGGGTGGTAGAACGTAGTCGAAGCAAACGGGACATTCAAAGAGAGATGCCAAATCGGGACCACCATCCGATATCGAAGAATTTGACGATGTCGATGAGCCGTTTAAGTCTTTTCTCTTGATGGGAATTTTGTGACTGGACATTATCGCAAACTACACGAACGGATGCTATCTGACGCACTGCTAATAATGATTTCCATAAAAATTCCTCTCGCCTTCGGTTTCTCGTCTATTTGCAAATTGTATATATTTTTTCTTTAGTACCTTCTGTGTACTTATTATGTGCGTATTTTGCTTTTTGTATTCTTTTTTTTAGAATTTCAACAATTTTTTTCTTTCCTTCTCGCTCTATAACTTTTCTTCCATTCAGTTATTTTGGTGATTTTGAACACAAATTTCAGTTTTTTTCACTTCACTAACTATTTAATTTTACTGTTTAAGTGTCAAAGTTTCAGAATTTGTCAAATAAAAGATAAAGAGAGCACTCTAAGGTATTTATTTTCACTACATATTAGCTGACGATATTGAACTGAATATTTTTATGAAGTTCGAAAAAATGGCTGCACAAGTCACATCTGGCAACACTTGTATTATGATTGTTTCGGAAATGAAGACTTGCTTTGTGACGTTAATTTAGATGA